TGCGTGGTACCATCTCAATGAGTTCCCTATATAACTTTTACGCCGTAATGGACCCAAACGTATTTTTTTTGCCTGACAAATTAGCCGTGCATTTTCTGCATTATTTTGTTTACGTACATTCATTATACTTTTTCAAAATGCTAATGAATTGAATGGATGAAGGCATTACTCAGTTATTATTATCAACACATTACTGAACGTTATGGTCCCAAACCGCAATTGTGTAAGATTCATCTACATTCACATCTCAAGATACAAGTTATCAAACGCGATGCATTGGCATTAGCATTCTGTTTTGCGCGTGAAAGTTATATAGGGAACTCATTGAGATGGTACCACGCAAGAAGTATATTTTGGGGCAATTCATCACGTGATACATCGTCGATCGTTCATTACCGTCCAACAAATACAATGAATGTCGACGATCTATTTTATGTTGAACAATTTGATGACCGATATTTAAACAAGAGTTTTATTCGAATGCATCAGGATAAACTATCATTATGTTTAGAAAGGAAAAACATCAATCCAAACACAAAGATTATCTATTATGCTCGATATCGTCGTGGTATCAAAAGTTTTCATTCATGAGCATATTCAAGAAGTGGCAATGCAATTAGTTACATGGTGTCGACTTCAACTGATAAATGTCCAGCAAAACGACAGACGTGTTTTGCTGAAATTTTATTCTATTTAAACATTCATGGTGTGTATTATGCACTGATCCAAAAACATGACTGTGTCGATTCAAGTATATCGAATGGGCTATCAACAACAACTGTCCCACCTTCTTAAAACAGAATACACCGTTACTTTACATCTTTGTAGAGAGCACAGTGTAACGAAATGTCATCTCTGTTTCCCTAGCCAATCACCATCACTCTCTTCATAATCATAAATCATCTCTCTTTTTCATTATGTTCAATCACTCTCTCTGATCAAGCGCTATCTCCTTCTTCAGTCAGTCACATTCTGTTCATATTCCATTGTTCACCTCTTCGTCAGTCAATTCTGTTACATTCTATCTCTCTCTCATTACGTATATTCATTCTCTCTTTCTTTGTACATATTTAATATCTCTGTCTCATTGTTCGTTCGGTCATTCACTCTCTCTTTGTTCGCTGCACTATATACACTCACTGTACAGCACATACTTTTCAGTCTATTGTATAATAAACTCAGTAAAGGATACATAATTCCTTTACACATAGAATACGCAGTGTAAGTAGAGGTGTTAGCCGATTACTTTATCGACGGCGGCGGCGGCGAAGAAACTCAAAAAAAATTTTCCGCCTTTGGCGGCGGCGGCGTGAAAATTTTGAAAAATGTTATAAATTTTCAATAAATTTTCTTCGAAGAAGTTCTGAAAAAGTTTCCGATCGGCGCCGAAAAACTTCAAAAACAAATTCCGTCTATGGCGGTGGCGTGAAATTTCAAAATTTTTCTTTTTGTTTTTGGGCCATTGTTGCTTTTGCTACAGCATGATAAGCGATAGGAAACGAAGAACTGGCAGGAAAAATTCCGTACTCCTATCAGAGCTGACAACTTTTGTCGATGGAACGTACTTTGATGGTTTGAATATCTTATATTCACGGATTCAGTGCGATATAATTCCATTGTGAGCGCCAGATAAATAGCGGCGAACATATTTCATCTCTAGAAAGGCGTGTAACACAAAAGTTCTGGAAAGGGTTTGGTGTTTCTTGCCCTATTTGAACTTTTTATATTTTTTCAAAACCGTCTACTTTATTTTGATTTCAGAAGAAATACACAAATATGTTATCGCATTCTACAAAATTTTACTCTTCATTTATCAAGCGTTTATTATCTCAGCTATCTTCAACACCAAAATATTATTTCTCATTGACTTTTTTCGTTGAACGACGTACACTTACGATGACGTCAACGATGATGCCATCCATTAAAACTTATTCATCATTGACAAATAATAATATGAAGTACAAATTAGAGAAAAGTTCAATTTACACATATGCTAAAGCAACATTCAGTTTTTATAGAGACGAGTTAGCATCAAAAGGTAAGAAAAAATTTCGGCCCGGATCCAAATTCCCCCAGGACTTTCGGCTCGGGCCCAAGTTTAGTATCCTGCTGAGCACTACGCATTTTTATGTTGGCACTTTGTTTAGACAAGTAATTACTCTCTCATAAGACCATAGCACTCCTAAAGGGATCAAAGCAGACTGCTGAGCACTACGTTTTAATCTAAATGCGTACTGCTGTGCCAACTATTTATAGAAATACGGCTAGGAACCGAAGGTCCGGAGGGAACTTGGGCCACGGCCGAAAGTACGGCGGGAAGTTAGGTCCGGGCCGAACGTCTTTCTCGTTTCGACATGATTTTGGGCCCTGGATAGATAGTCTGGGCCGAAAATTCTTTGGACCGAAATTCCAAGTGTCCCATTACGTTAGAAGCGAAACGCAACATACAGTTTAAAATTCCTCTACACATTTTTCAGACTAAGAAATCCAAGTTTGGATTTTTCGCTACAGGCTAAAACAAAATTCTTTTCAGTTTTTTTTCGTTTGGGTGCAAATGGAAGGACCATTAACTAACGTTCCTGCGAATGGACTTCCCACTGTGTCTCCTGCATACAAACTAAAGTTTCCTCTCCTTACCAAGCTTCCACAGCAACTCCTACTTCTTCTTTCTTCATTTTAGAAAGATTATTATTTGAAGCTGCATATTATAATAAATTAAAGACATTAGAACGGTAAATAAAATAATCTCAAACGATATCAATTTCTCTTTAAAACTCCTTTGCTTTCTCCTTTTCTTTGTCTGCTGTGAAATTTATAGTTTACTAGAGTTCAAATCAATAGACATAAATATTCGTCATCCATTCGGATGGACACCTTTACATGTTGCTGTTGTTAATCATAATCAAGAGTAAGTAAAGTATAAGGATTTGATTTTATTCGTTTGGAATTCAATTTGATTTTGTCGCCGAATGAAGAACTTGTTTCTACTTTTTAAAGACATTTCGCCTAAGTAATGAATGGCTTGTAAACTGAGTCTAACACTGTTGCAAAAGCATCCATCCACACCGAACTGGCATTCCTCTCAAGTGGGTAAACTCGTAGACGTGCTTTTTCATCATCATCATGCTGGCTTTCTTTCTCTCTGTCTCTTCAATACCGTCACATTTTTGTGTTTTCTAGATCAGTCAAATATTTATTATCAAAAGGTGCTAACCCAAATTTAGCCGATGAATATACAAATGTAAATGATATGGCTAAAAAATATTTCTTTGAACTCATAGATAACGGTAAATCTATTGTGCTTTCATCTGAGAAGCGGCATCTGATATTAAAATAAGTACAAAGATACCAACTCCTTCTGTTCTCATCTTCCTACTAAATGAAAGTATCCTTGTAGAAAAACATGGGAAATTTAACGTTCTTTTTGCTCTCACAACAGTAATTCTATAATGCGGTCGTGCAACCCTACTAACTGACTAGTTTCACACCAGCTTTTCCATTTATTTTCTAGTGGAGATATGCTTGAGATAGCGTTTTACCGCTCATAATTTCTGAGAGAAAGGCATAGTGAAAACTATAATCTGGAAAAAACTTTCTAATAGAACATATAATTTGCAGTTCAGATTACTCTTCGAAACGTTTTCCTTCCAATGGGATTTTAGAGAAAAAACAATATATTATTACACAATTTCATTCTTCAAAACTTATTAAAAGGTTTTATTTTTGTAGAGTAGACTCCTGCGGGGCAGCCCCGAATCCCATCCCGTCTGTCCCGACCCGTGGGACAGACGGGATCGGGACAAAAAAAATTTACGGGCTTGGGCTCATGGGCTCGAGGCATGAAAAAAATTTCACGGGCTTGGGCTTACGGGGTCGGGACAAGTTGCAGAAAAATGTTGTCTCGTAAGTTTTGTCTTTTAATTGTAATTATGCTGCAAGTTCAAATGTTTACTTCTTGTAATACTATCGAGTCAAAACCGTAATTTTATAATAACTAATAAAAATTAACCTGGAGAGGCAAAATAGTCAGGATTTAAACTTGAGAAGATGTTCCATATCTAAACCTAGGTTTACAGTTCTTTCCTTTCGATTCTGAGGTAGTGAGTGGATGTAAAAGATTTTTTTATACAGCAACTTTTAAGTTTAGAATCAAATAAATTAGGCTTAAATTTTGTCACGCGGATTTTTTGCAAAAATAAGTTTGAGACTTTAAGCGTCTCTTGTAATAGTTACGGTTTATCACAACAGAAAAATATTTCAAAAAATTACGGGACAAACGGGACGGGACAAAAAAGCCCGTAAATTTTTTTCACGGGACAGACGGGTTCGGGACAACAATATTTGCTCACGGGACGGGACAAAAATTTTTATGTTCGGGCTCGGGGCAACAGAAAAGTTTGTCCCGCAAGACTCTATTGTAGAGAGCTTATTCAAATTACACCTCTGTTTTTTCTATTATATAAAAGCTAACTCAAAATTATGTTGTTGATGTTTTCTCTTTATATCAAAAAATTAGGTAGACGAATTTCTCGTGATGACGAATTTTCTGATCGTTTACCAACATCAACAATATCAACATTTAAAGGTTTTACATGTTTACATTATGCTGTTCTATTAGATAATTTATCAATTATACAAATATTAATTGAATATAATGCTGATCCACTGCTGGCAAACGAAGAAGGACATTTGCCGTCAGTATATGTAGGATCATCATCCAACAAATGTAAAGATTTGATATTAGAATATGAAAAAAAGGTTAACGGAGAGAAACTAATTTTTTTTTCTTCTTTTTTTCAGCCTCTTCAAATTAGATTTAGATATTTTTCACACTAAATATGATTTACCGAGCAATCAAAAATTTTTCAACTTAACCCTCCCTCTCGATCAAAAACTTTTTTTCGATCGGTAAAAAAAACTGCACCCATTCCTGTCTTTTCGGATCGAAAAATTCGAACGGCTGCGTTCAGTTCTGTATTAGAGAGATATCTACCAGTGTTAAAGCTACCAGAGAGAATCAATTTTTTGCTACCATTTTATTCACACTTTACGCCTTTCGTCATACATTATTGTTCTTCTCTTTTTTTGATGTTTGTCTAGGCGCAAAAACTTTCTGTTGAACGTATGAAGTCTGATCGTCGTAAGTTTCCATTAGAAGTGCGTATAAAAGAAAATATAATTGGACAAAACGATGCTATATCGACAGTTTGTGGTGGTAAGAGTGACGTTTTCATCTGTCTCTTTCTTTATTGCTAAATTTGTTCGTTGGCTTTGCTTATAGCGCTAAGACGGAAGGAAAGTGGATGGACAAATAATGAATCACCATTGGTTTTCTTATTTCTTGGTTCATCCGGAGTTGGTATGTGTGTTAAGCTACAAAAAAAGATAGAAAATTCTATCATCTCTGAGCTATACAGATAGCATTCACTCTCTCATTTCCTCTCTCCGAGGTTTCCTGTTCAACACTACAGTGTAGTTCTCACTGCTACAACTCTCTTATTTCCTCTGTCTATACAGGTAAAACGGAATTAGCAAAACAAATTGCACGTTATATAAATACCAATGATGCTAATAATAAAGAGAAAAATAAAATAAATGAACAACAACAGAAAAAAAAAGATTCTTTTATACGTATTGATATGTCTGAATATCAGGATAAACATGAAGTATCAAAATTGATTGGATCACCACCTGGCTACGTCGGATACGGAGATGGTGGACAATTAACTGAGTCATTAGCAAAATGTCCAACAGCTGTCGTTCTGTTTGATGAAATTGACAAAGCACATCCAGAGATTTTGACAATTATGTTACAATTATTTGATGAAGTAAGTAGAGAAAACGAGCTATTCTGAAGTAGCTTCAGTTTTTCACAAAAACTGTACCAACTAGTAAATTGCTTTGGTATTGAAACTTGGTGCCGGTAAGTCCCGAGTTCCAACTTCGCTCTTACAACAAGAAAGAGAGAGAGAGCATTTTCAATACAGAATCAAAAACTGAGTCTAGTCTGAAAAGTTTTTGGTGTAAAAGGTGCACAATCGAGAATATTTTCTCGAGACTCTCGTCCGGTGTAGCTGAGTAGAAAACTGCGTGACAGTCAAAAACTCATCTCAAAAGCATGAAAATTTTCAAAGTAGACTCATTTTTTGAAACCTTACAAAATATCCTCATTGAAAGTTTTCTATCTCAGCTAAAAATTCTTTTTCAACTTATATGAGTCGAAACCAACGTTCAGATTCGTAATCAGCATTACTGATAACATTTAAGATGTATATTTCAAGGCAAAAGCGTTTTCTCAGAATGAACTTCGATAGCACTTTTTCAGCTAAGTTTGTCAAGCAGTTAAAGGATTCTAGCGAGGGACTACAATTAGGAAACAACGAGAAAAATTTCACGTTGTTAACTGGATGACTAGACTTGCTCCCTAAAACATTATTTCAAACTTATTCGTTACTTCAGTTTTACAGCTCGATCTTTTCACAGAAAGTTTACAGAATCAATTATTGAAATTAAAGTTGAACCTTTCGATCGAGAGCACCATTATGATTCAATTTTTTTCTGTTCTTTTCGTATTTTAAAAGGGCCGTCTGACAGATGGTCAAGGTAAAACAGTTGATGGTAAACAAGCAATCTATGTCCTAACATCAAATTTAGCATCGGATGAAATTGCAGAATATGCACAAAAAGTCAGAAAAGCAGAAGAAATAAAGCAGCGTTCAACAGGAGTCACAGCAGGTACAGGAAATGTTCGTTTATTAGTAGTTTGAGTTACCCACACTATTCAAAGTTGAGACTACAGAAGAAAGACATTTTCTTTGTTTCTAGAATCAAGCAATGCTGTCAACACAGACAGTGATCAACAGCGTCTTATTATCTCAAAACAATTTAAAGATGATATTGTTAAACCAATTTTAAAGGTAGTAGTGTATTGCACTGCTCCTCTCTGTCTCTATACACAACACTTACTCACGTTTTTCTTTTCCATTTCTGTCTATACAATTTCTAGAAACATTTTCGACGTAATGAATTCTTAGGACGTATTAATGAAATGGTTTATTTTTTACCATTTTCAAAATCAGAAATCAATCAGTTATTAATAAAAGAATTAGAATATTGGAAACAACGTGTAAGTAAAGCCCGATGATATGGTAGTTACCTTTTTTTTTTCTTATACGTAAGTGAAACAAATCCTCAAATGGAAAAAGAGAAGCTTCCAAAAATTTTAAAGCAATACACCACTTCATTCAAATAAAGTCTCAGGTATACGTATTGAACTAGGCTTTAAAAGAATGCTCGAAAAAAAATTACCTCATCAGTGAATGTTTGAAATTTTATGTCACATTCAAATCAGTTTTTTGGCACAACCTTCGAGCACATCGGATCTCCCTTACATTCTCCAGAATGAATATTTTTCTTTTTTGAAATATTTGTGTTAGATCCAATTGGAGTTATAGTCTATTGATATCACAGCAGGGCAACGGAAATCTAGTTTTCCTATTAAAATGCAACGTTTTTTTAGAGACTGTGTTATGTTTTATTGAGAAATATAACGACGTTAATTTGACTAATAGACAAACGACGCTCTCATCGACGTATTTTTAATTTTAAAATCTAACGAGTTCCAAACTGCCTAGGGTTCGTGTGTCTAGAAGAAATTTACATGCGTAGAATTCGATAAGCCATCATCTCTCTGAAAAAAATAACTCGATGTGTTTATTATTATAGGCAAACGATCAACACAGTATTGATATTATTTGGGATCTTAAAGCATTAAATTATTTAGCTAAAGCATATGATCTTAATTATGGTGCACGTTCAATCAAACATGAAGTACTGACAATTTTCTCTTTCTTTTGCTCTCACTGCATTTTGTGCATTTTTTAATTTTTTCGTCTATAGATTGAACGTAGTGTTGTTAATCAGTTAGCATCTGCATTTGAACAATCTTTAATTGTATCTGGTAATCAAATTCTGTTAACAACTTCAACACATCAACAGTCGAATATCAAATTACAAAAAGTAGAACTAATACCAATAGAACATCGAACTGATAGTTCGAGTGGAGCCCTAAAATATATTGATATAAAACTAGATGATCATTTGAAGAGAGAGAAAATCGCAATTGCAGTTAGTCAATGAAGAATTTATCAGTATCGTCTTTAGCATTGTGTTTTTTAAATGTGTCTACCAAACTTTTTTCTTTACGATTAATGTTATTCAATTAGTGGTATAGAATACGGACAGTTATAAAAAAAAATATACATCAATGAAGAAAAAGTGGATCAGAAAAATGTTTTCAGAATAGGTGTAAATGGTTTTTCCAATGTTGTCTGCCTTCCTGCAGTCCTTATGAATCAAAATTTACTGCTGAGTTCAGAAATGTAGAAAGAAGTTCGGCAGCTGTACCCTAGTTAAAACGTAGAAACACAATTCCATACTAAAACAAAGTGCACTCTCAACTTTTGACGTTAACTATGGGGTGGCTGCCCACTACGCATTATCTTTTTAATATAGATGTGTTTATTTATTAATCCCATCAATGGTTTCTGCGGTGTGTGTTACAAGCTCGTGCCTTTCACAATTGATATTCTTTTTCTTTCCTTCTTTTTCTTACAAAACACAAGTTTTTGTTGCGGCAGCCAAAGATTTGTTCTTGGGTAATATTACCACCAATACCTAATATATCACTGGGAGTATTGAATGATGGAGCTGCACGACCAGGCATTTTTGGATGTGTTTTCAAGGTAGGTCTTGAACTGTTCAATGATCGCTTCGTTTTCACTTTTTTCTTCTCTTATCGCAACGAAAAAAGGAAATGCCAAGATGGATATAGCAAAGCCAGCAGTTAGAATAGAAAATGTAACTCCTGTGACACTACCTAAATGCTGCTATAACTGATATAGCTACGATAAAAGCAACTATAGCTAATGCTAAACTAATGCACCAAAGTACAACTAGAGACGGACGTTCGAATGTTTGTAGAAATTCCTGTAGATATAATGGTAAACAACGATGAATGGATGGAACTAATGATGAACGATAACAAAAAAAAGATTTTGCTTGAATAAATAATAACGAAAAGAGATCTTTTGAAATTTTAGTTTTATTTTGTATAAAAAATATATATGTACTTTGTAAAAACGACGACGAATATTTAATAAAAGGAAAAACAGAAAATGGAAAATGTACTCACGAGAATTTAAACGCGTTTCGAATTTATCTTCATCAGTAAATGCTCGTGA